TGGGCGTGGAGCACGCGCACCTGGTAGAATGTGCCAGAAGGCACCTCCTGGGAGCCCGGCCGGCCTGGGGAAGCGAGGGGGTTGCAGACGTTGATAGATCCGTGGCACAGTACACTGGGGGCGCTGTCAAGGTAAAGATCCCACACCCTGAGTTACAAGTGCCTTTCCAACTTCTGTTCTTGGTGTTTTTGTACTTTTCTGAAGGCGTTAGAACTGACAGGCCTTGCCTGAATACAGGTTCTGGTCTCAGAGTGATGCCTGTCACCTTTCTGGAATCAAGTGCTTCTCAGAGCTGAGTTTGGCTCAAGCAGAAGGCCAAGGATAGTTTTTGTCCCAGAGGGAGGGACCAGCGTTTGCACTGATTCCTGCAGCATCATTTTTAAGATTATCTGACCCGAGCAGTGTGCAAGCCAAGTTGTTTTTTGCACAGGCACACTCATTTGTTTTTCTTGGTTACAGCTAGAAAAAGACATGTCCAACGTCAGCCTGGGCCCAGCACCGTTCCCCGAGCTCACACACATCATGATAGGACTGGAGAGCTGTTCTTTCTTGGTAAGCCCCGGCTGGGCCCCACAGCCGGTCCTGAAGCCAGGAGTCACCTCTGCTGAGCTCTGCCCTCCCGTCTCCTGCAGGAGGAAGACTTCATCCCCTTTGCCGTGCTGAACATGATGATGGGAGGTGGGGGCTCCTTCTCGGCCGGTGGTCCCGGCAAGGGCATGTTTACCAGGCTGTACCTCAACGTGCTCAACAGGTAGGCCTTCCGCCTGCTGTCCCCGGGGTCGCCAGGCCCAGCTGTGGGCACTTCTGGGTTTGATACCACCTAGCGAGTGTCCCTTTCTCCATGTTCCCCAGGCACCACTGGATGTACAATGCGACCTCCTACCACCATAGCTACGAGGACACGGGCCTCCTGTGTATCCACGCCAGTGCTGACCCAAAACAGGTGAGGGCCGGGGTCGAGCCAGCCTCCACTCCCTTCACAGTTTGTGTCGGTGTGAAGCTGCTCGTGCAGATTGGGTAAAAAAGGCTGTTGGGTTCAGTTCATACTGTTCATCTCCATGCTGTCTCTCATAGGTTCGAGAAATGGTAGAAATCATCACAAAGGAATTCATTTTAATGGCTGGAACCGTGGATGGGGTAAGTGGGGGGCACAGCATGGTGCCATTTCCACGTCTCCCCCAGCATTGGACGGTGAAGAACATGGCGTTGGGGGTTGGCAGGGGGCCTGCTCCCTGTGTCTCCAGCCCCAGTATCTCAGCAGCCCAGGGGTGACCCCGGCCTCCAGCTAAGCTGCTCCTGTGGGGAGCCCCACTCCCTCTCCCAGCACTCTGCTCGGCTCACGTCCACTGACCAGTCCTGTGAGCCCCCCCGTGTCCTTTTTCAGCTTTACTGGAAGAAATGCCACAGAGAGTCTGTCTGCCCTCCTCCCCCACCCTGCAGGACAGTCCGGACCAGGGCGGCAGCGTGGAGAGCGCGGGCCTCGGGCTGCCACTGTGACCCGGCATCTTTCTAGCTTTCTCCCGACTCTGTTTCATGTCTTGACCTCAGCTTCTGTTTCCTCTTCTTTTGCTGATTTTTGGTGCCTCATGTGTTTAGAAACCTTGTTACTTTCTGGACCAGAACTGGCAAAAGTAAGATTCTGTGCGCATGGGAAGTAACAGTGAGGTTGTGCGCGGACGGGCCGTCTCTCGGCCGGCCGTGTGCTGCATCTTGCTGTTCTGCACGTCCCGTGTTTCCTGCTGGAATCACACACTCCCTTTTTAATTAAAAAGAGACATTATTTAAAACATAAAGACATGTTTTAAGACCTGGGTGTTAGTGTTTCAGTGCTGACGCGAAGCCAGTTTGAGACGAGCTGTAAGGATCTGCCTGATCCTTACTTTTTACAAAAGTAAAAATGACATGTCTTAAATTAGGAATTATTGTGCTTAAGAAATGATGCAGAATCTCAACAGCTGGTGTATTTCCAGTGCCTGTTCCTCGAAGTCTGGTAGCTCCCAGGTTCACTGGCATGGCTGTCCTTGCCCGGTTCCCTTTCTGTGCCCGCAAATACAGGCCGAACTCGAGGAACGTAATTTGCTGGAGCCACAAAGTTTTGAATTTCATACTTGGTGAGAGAGGCTCAAGATAAAGTTGGTTGGTTGAGCTGGCTCCCTGAGTTCCCAGGCAGCGTGGTGGACACAGCTGCCCAGGCCCTGCCCCGGGGGGTCTGCCGGAGCCCTGGAGTCTCTACTGAATTTCCTCTCCTTGTGACTGCCACTTCCCCTGTGAGGCCAGCTTTGGGGTCCTGGATTTTGGGTGTTTGGCGGTTTATACCTCTCATGCTGTATGACAAACCTTAAACATAAGAAAAAACTCGGGGGAAGCACGTCTCGTCCTTACTTCCGGTGTGGCAGAGGGCCCGCCCAGGAACGGCAGAGGAGGGGGAAGCGCGGCAGGGTCAGCCCGTGGCCGGAGCTGTTGGCTTGTTCCGCCGCGGATGAGCGGAAGGCCTCTCGCCAGGACACACTTCGGGCAGCCCCCGTGCTGGCTGTGCTGCGTGTGACCTGGTGCCGCCGGGTGCCCCCGCAGGTGGAGCTGGAGCGAGCCAAGACGCAGCTGATGTCCATGCTCATGATGAACCTGGAGTCCAGGCCCGTGATTTTCGAGGACGTGGGGAGGCAGGTGCTGGCCGCCCGCTCCAGAAAGCTGCCCCACGAGCTGTGCGCGCTCATCCGTGAGTACGGTGCTCACAGGCAGGCTGACGATGGCCTCGGGCAGGCTCAGGTGGGACTTGCTGTCCCTCCTAGGAGGGGTGTTGGGCCCTGGGTGGGCGTGGCTCCCACACCCACAAGCCTGCCTTCCTCACAGGTCCTGCACCCCAGCTGCCCCCGCTTTCTGCCCCCTCACAACTAGGCCATGTGCCACCACTCCAGGTTTCACAGCGGGGTCTGGGAGTGCGCGAACGCACCCGGCGCAGCCCAGGTTCAGCTTAGCTTCTTCAGATCCAGAGGGTCCGAGACCGCAGAAGGGTCAGGCCAGCGCGCTGTTGCACTGTGGGTCACCGTCGGTTGCTTCCTCAGCCTCAGTCCTGCTGGGCACGGCACTTTCACCCACACGTGGAGCCCTGTCCCCCTTGGGGGCCCCCCTTCGTCCCTCGAGTCCTCTTCCTCGGTAGCAGAGTGGACCTGCTGGTCGGCGTGGCTCCTGGGTTCCCTGTGCAGCCCGTCAGCCCCTTTTCTGGCCTCCCTTTTCTGGCCTGGATGCCTGAGGACTTTTGTCTTTACTTTTTTTTTTTCCTTCCCTGCAGACACATCCTGTAGGTAACTCATGGGATGAGGAGCTTTTTCTTTTTTAAATACACCAGTGCCTCTTAGGGTGGGCATGTTTTTATGCATTTTAAAATAATCTTAAGCTATTGACTTTAACCTGTAAGAAAAACACTGTCATTTCATCCTGATTCACACTGCAGTCCCTATGTGGCTGCTTCCGAACCCTCGGGGGTTCTCAGCACCCCTCCCCCGAAGGTGGTGGGGACAATGGCAGATTGGTGACCACCCCTAAACCCCCTCCCCAATCCATCTTGTGACCACAGCTGGGCCGTGCAGAGGAATGGAACCAGAGCGGGCGGCAGGTGTTCCCCCGATGTCCTTTTGATCTCTAGGTAATGTGAGGCCGGAAGACATCAAAAGAGTTGCTTCCAAAATGCTGCGCGGGAAGCCTGCGGTGGCCGCCCTGGGCGATCTGACTGACCTGCCGACTTACGAGCACATCCAGGCCGCGCTGTTGAGCAAAGACGGGCGCCTCCCTCGGATGTACCGGCTCTTCCGGTAGAGGCCCCCCAAGATCCCACACAGAACAAGGGCTACAGAGAGCAGAACGTTCTATACACGTCTTTGGATGCGAATTTAGTGCAAACTGTGGGAGCCTTCCCTTAACCGTGGGCAGGGTCAGGCCGCCCGAGCACAGCTCTTTTCCGATCCTCCAGAATTGAACGTGCCAATGAAAGTCCACCTTCGCCTCTGCAGCTGGACACAGGTTTGAGGCACCGAGGGCAGCAAGCTGTGCTGCCATAACCAGGCTTGCATCTGGCCTCCCAGGAGTCTCGGCAGCGGGTGTCCCGCCAGGGTCCTGAGACTTGCTGTCCTCAAGAAGGGAAGCATCAAACCGTCCCGTCAGAGGCCGGGGGGCCTGTGACCTCTCGAAGTGCACAGCCTGCATAGAGGGGCACGGCCACACCTGGCTGGGGTGCCACCACTCCACTAGGAGGGGGGACATGTTTCTTTCCTTGGTGCTGTCCTTCACCTTGAAGGGTTAGTTCAGGCTGGTCTGTGCAGCAGCCTTAGGGGGGCTTGGAAGTGGGGGTTTCATCTAATTGAAGGTTGGTGGCTGCAGCAGAGCCTGTGAACAGCTAAGAGGCAGGCAGATGGAGGTGCTCTAGGGTCCACGGGTGTGTGGACAGCTCGAGAGAGCCAAGGGGCAGTGACTGGGGGTAGAAGATAGTTGGCTTCATGGTTCTCAGACTTAAACACCCATGGGGCCCGGAATGCAGGGTGGGACAGCCTCAGGGAGTGGCTGCCACATCGCAGTGCAGTTGGGAGCGCTGTGCTGGGCGGCCCAGCCTCCACAGCGCAGATGGGAGAGGGCAGGATGTTTTAAGGAAGCCTAAATAAACATTTAGAGGTACTTCTGTTACTTAATCCACTTGCTTTGCCAGGGCTTGCTGTATTTCGATGCCTTTACAACGTGCTCCGGGGGCACGGCACTGCCCTGCACAGCCCCCTGGTCCAGTGGACCAGGGCTGGAGCCCCAGGGAGACGGGCCTGAGTTGGCTGGCGGGGGTCCAGCCGCGTGGGTTTCCAGTCGGTACATCATTCACGCTGGGAAGGAAGAAGCTGGCAGCAGATAGGTCGGGCTTAGCCTCGCGGCAAATGCACATCGAGACGGGAACCCAGCTCATGAGGAAATAAGCCAGGGAGGCCCTCGAAGCAGCTGCAGAGCTGGGGCTGAGCCTGGAATGACCTGGCCACGCTTATAGGGAAAACACGGTTGGCCTTCACCGCTTCTGCCCCGCAGAAAATATCGCAAAGATTGACCGGGAGGTGCTCCACTCGTATCTGAGGAACTACTACACCCCCGATCGCATGGTTCTGGCCGGGGTGGGCGTGGAGCACGCGCACCTGGTAGAATGTGCCAGAAGGCACCTCCTGGGAGCCCGGCCGGCCTGGGGAAGCGAGGGGGTTGCAGACGTTGATAGATCCGTGGCACAGTACACTGGGGGCGCTGTCAAGGTAAAGATCCCACACCCTGAGTTACAAGTGCCTTTCCAACTTCTGTTCTTGGTGTTTTTGTACTTTTCTGAAGGCGTTAGAACTGACAGGCCTTGCCTGAATACAGGTTCTGGTCTCAGAGTGATGCCTGTCACCTTTCTGGAATCAAGTGCTTCTCAGAGCTGAGTTTGGCTCAAGCAGAAGGCCAAGGATAGTTTTTGTCCCAGAGGGAGGGACCAGCGTTTGCACTGATTCCTGCAGCATCATTTTTAAGATTATCTGACCCGAGCAGTGTGCAAGCCAAGTTGTTTTTTGCACAGGCACACTCATTTGTTTTTCTTGGTTACAGCTAGAAAAAGACATGTCCAACGTCAGCCTGGGCCCAGCACCGTTCCCCGAGCTCACACACATCATGATAGGACTGGAGAGCTGTTCTTTCTTGGTAAGCCCCGGCTGGGCCCCACAGCCGGTCCTGAAGCCAGGAGTCACCTCTGCTGAGCTCTGCCCTCCCGTCTCCTGCAGGAGGAAGACTTCATCCCCTTTGCCGTGCTGAACATGATGATGGGAGGTGGGGGCTCCTTCTCGGCCGGTGGTCCCGGCAAGGGCATGTTTACCAGGCTGTACCTCAACGTGCTCAACAGGTAGGCCTTCCGCCTGCTGTCCCCGGGGTCGCCAGGCCCAGCTGTGGGCACTTCTGGGTTTGATACCACCTAGCGAGTGTCCCTTTCTCCATGTTCCCCAGGCACCACTGGATGTACAATGCGACCTCCTACCACCATAGCTACGAGGACACGGGCCTCCTGTGTATCCACGCCAGTGCTGACCCAAAACAGGTGAGGGCCGGGGTCGAGCCAGCCTCCACTCCCTTCACAGTTTGTGTCGGTGTGAAGCTGCTCGTGCAGATTGGGTAAAAAAGGCTGTTGGGTTCAGTTCATACTGTTCATCTCCATGCTGTCTCTCATAGGTTCGAGAAATGGTAGAAATCATCACAAAGGAATTCATTTTAATGGCTGGAACCGTGGATGGGGTAAGTGGGGGGCACAGCATGGTGCCATTTCCACGTCTCCCCCAGCATTGGACGGTGAAGAACATGGCGTTGGGGGTTGGCAGGGGGCCTGCTCCCTGTGTCTCCAGCCCCAGTATCTCAGCAGCCCAGGGGTGACCCCGGCCTCCAGCTAAGCTGCTCCTGTGGGGAGCCCCACTCCCTCTCCCAGCACTCTGCTCGGCTCACGTCCACTGACCAGTCCTGTGAGCCCCCCCGTGTCCTTTTTCAGCTTTACTGGAAGAAATGCCACAGAGAGTCTGTCTGCCCTCCTCCCCCACCCTGCAGGACAGTCCGGACCAGGGCGGCAGCGTGGAGAGCGCGGGCCTCGGGCTGCCACTGTGACCCGGCATCTTTCTAGCTTTCTCCCGACTCTGTTTCATGTCTTGACCTCAGCTTCTGTTTCCTCTTCTTTTGCTGATTTTTGGTGCCTCATGTGTTTAGAAACCTTGTTACTTTCTGGACCAGAACTGGCAAAAGTAAGATTCTGTGCGCATGGGAAGTAACAGTGAGGTTGTGCGCGGACGGGCCGTCTCTCGGCCGGCCGTGTGCTGCATCTTGCTGTTCTGCACGTCCCGTGTTTCCTGCTGGAATCACACACTCCCTTTTTAATTAAAAAGAGACATTATTTAAAACATAAAGACATGTTTTAAGACCTGGGTGTTAGTGTTTCAGTGCTGACGCGAAGCCAGTTTGAGACGAGCTGTAAGGATCTGCCTGATCCTTACTTTTTACAAAAGTAAAAATGACATGTCTTAAATTAGGAATTATTGTGCTTAAGAAATGATGCAGAATCTCAACAGCTGGTGTATTTCCAGTGCCTGTTCCTCGAAGTCTGGTAGCTCCCAGGTTCACTGGCATGGCTGTCCTTGCCCGGTTCCCTTTCTGTGCCCGCAAATACAGGCCGAACTCGAGGAACGTAATTTGCTGGAGCCACAAAGTTTTGAATTTCATACTTGGTGAGAGAGGCTCAAGATAAAGTTGGTTGGTTGAGCTGGCTCCCTGAGTTCCCAGGCAGCGTGGTGGACACAGCTGCCCAGGCCCTGCCCCGGGGGGTCTGCCGGAGCCCTGGAGTCTCTACTGAATTTCCTCTCCTTGTGACTGCCACTTCCCCTGTGAGGCCAGCTTTGGGGTCCTGGATTTTGGGTGTTTGGCGGTTTATACCTCTCATGCTGTATGACAAACCTTAAACATAAGAAAAAACTCGGGGGAAGCACGTCTCGTCCTTACTTCCGGTGTGGCAGAGGGCCCGCCCAGGAACGGCAGAGGAGGGGGAAGCGCGGCAGGGTCAGCCCGTGGCCGGAGCTGTTGGCTTGTTCCGCCGCGGATGAGCGGAAGGCCTCTCGCCAGGACACACTTCGGGCAGCCCCCGTGCTGGCTGTGCTGCGTGTGACCTGGTGCCGCCGGGTGCCCCCGCAGGTGGAGCTGGAGCGAGCCAAGACGCAGCTGATGTCCATGCTCATGATGAACCTGGAGTCCAGGCCCGTGATTTTCGAGGACGTGGGGAGGCAGGTGCTGGCCGCCCGCTCCAGAAAGCTGCCCCACGAGCTGTGCGCGCTCATCCGTGAGTACGGTGCTCACAGGCAGGCTGACGATGGCCTCGGGCAGGCTCAGGTGGGACTTGCTGTCCCTCCTAGGAGGGGTGTTGGGCCCTGGGTGGGCGTGGCTCCCACACCCACAAGCCTGCCTTCCTCACAGGTCCTGCACCCCAGCTGCCCCCGCTTTCTGCCCCCTCACAACTAGGCCATGTGCCACCACTCCAGGTTTCACAGCGGGGTCTGGGAGTGCGCGAACGCACCCGGCGCAGCCCAGGTTCAGCTTAGCTTCTTCAGATCCAGAGGGTCCGAGACCGCAGAAGGGTCAGGCCAGCGCGCTGTTGCACTGTGGGTCACCGTCGGTTGCTTCCTCAGCCTCAGTCCTGCTGGGCACGGCACTTTCACCCACACGTGGAGCCCTGTCCCCCTTGGGGGCCCCCCTTCGTCCCTCGAGTCCTCTTCCTCGGTAGCAGAGTGGACCTGCTGGTCGGCGTGGCTCCTGGGTTCCCTGTGCAGCCCGTCAGCCCCTTTTCTGGCCTCCCTTTTCTGGCCTGGATGCCTGAGGACTTTTGTCTTTACTTTTTTTTTTTCCTTCCCTGCAGACACATCCTGTAGGTAACTCATGGGATGAGGAGCTTTTTCTTTTTTAAATACACCAGTGCCTCTTAGGGTGGGCATGTTTTTATGCATTTTAAAATAATCTTAAGCTATTGACTTTAACCTGTAAGAAAAACACTGTCATTTCATCCTGATTCACACTGCAGTCCCTATGTGGCTGCTTCCGAACCCTCGGGGGTTCTCAGCACCCCTCCCCCGAAGGTGGTGGGGACAATGGCAGATTGGTGACCACCCCTAAACCCCCTCCCCAATCCATCTTGTGACCACAGCTGGGCCGTGCAGAGGAATGGAACCAGAGCGGGCGGCAGGTGTTCCCCCGATGTCCTTTTGATCTCTAGGTAATGTGAGGCCGGAAGACATCAAAAGAGTTGCTTCCAAAATGCTGCGCGGGAAGCCTGCGGTGGCCGCCCTGGGCGATCTGACTGACCTGCCGACTTACGAGCACATCCAGGCCGCGCTGTTGAGCAAAGACGGGCGCCTCCCTCGGATGTACCGGCTCTTCCGGTAGAGGCCCCCCAAGATCCCACACAGAACAAGGGCTACAGAGAGCAGAACGTTCTATACACGTCTTTGGATGCGAATTTAGTGCAAACTGTGGGAGCCTTCCCTTAACCGTGGGCAGGGTCAGGCCGCCCGAGCACAGCTCTTTTCCGATCCTCCAGAATTGAACGTGCCAATGAAAGTCCACCTTCGCCTCTGCAGCTGGACACAGGTTTGAGGCACCGAGGGCAGCAAGCTGTGCTGCCATAACCAGGCTTGCATCTGGCCTCCCAGGAGTCTCGGCAGCGGGTGTCCCGCCAGGGTCCTGAGACTTGCTGTCCTCAAGAAGGGAAGCATCAAACCGTCCCGTCAGAGGCCGGGGGGCCTGTGACCTCTCGAAGTGCACAGCCTGCATAGAGGGGCACGGCCACACCTGGCTGGGGTGCCACCACTCCACTAGGAGGGGGGACATGTTTCTTTCCTTGGTGCTGTCCTTCACCTTGAAGGGTTAGTTCAGGCTGGTCTGTGCAGCAGCCTTAGGGGGGCTTGGAAGTGGGGGTTTCATCTAATTGAAGGTTGGTGGCTGCAGCAGAGCCTGTGAACAGCTAAGAGGCAGGCAGATGGAGGTGCTCTAGGGTCCACGGGTGTGTGGACAGCTCGAGAGAGCCAAGGGGCAGTGACTGGGGGTAGAAGATAGTTGGCTTCATGGTTCTCAGACTTAAACACCCATGGGGCCCGGAATGCAGGGTGGGACAGCCTCAGGGAGTGGCTGCCACATCGCAGTGCAGTTGGGAGCGCTGTGCTGGGCGGCCCAGCCTCCACAGCGCAGATGGGAGAGGGCAGGATGTTTTAAGGAAGCCTAAATAAACATTTAGAGGTACTTCTGTTACTTAATCCACTTGCTTTGCCAGGGCTTGCTGTATTTCGATGCCTTTACAACGTGCTCCGGGGGCACGGCACTGCCCTGCACAGCCCCCTGGTCCAGTGGACCAGGGCTGGAGCCCCAGGGAGACGGGCCTGAGTTGGCTGGCGGGGGTCCAGCCGCGTGGGTTTCCAGTCGGTACATCATTCACGCTGGGAAGGAAGAAGCTGGCAGCAGATAGGTCGGGCTTAGCCTCGCGGCAAATGCACATCGAGACGGGAACCCAGCTCATGAGGAAATAAGCCAGGGAGGCCCTCGAAGCAGCTGCAGAGCTGGGGCTGAGCCTGGAATGACCTGGCCACTTCACAAACATTCCAGAAGCTGCCGCCTCCCTCACAGGTGTCTGTTTTGGAAGCCGGCACTACTGACACGTCTTCTCTTTCCCCGCTGGCTGCCTCCCTGCCCCCTACAGGTCCCTGGGCACTTCTGCCCCCCAGGTCCCCTTAGGAAACTGCAGTGGCTCCAGGGCTACCCCAGCCTGTCCCCCAGCCTCACTACCCGCCCCTTAGAACTGTGCCCTTCTAGCCAGAACAGGCCGCAGAGGGACCACAAGCCAAGTAGGTTTGGGTGCTTAACCACCACACATGGGTGCATTCCACAGTTGTCTCAGAGACTAGCCAGTTTCATCTGCATTATGAGTTTTAACCCAACTTTCCAAGTAAAATTCATTGTCTGGGCCCAACGGCTGGAATGAAACGAACGGCTTAACTTTGGACCCACGGTCTTAATCGAACTCCCCACCCGAAATGTGAAGGAAGCTTCATTGCCCACCAGACACACACCTGTGTCACATTAGGCCCTCCCTGTAGTTTGGGCCAGAGAAAATGCCTAGAAAGAATTCACAAAATCCTGCTCATTTGCAAGCTCTATTGCCACAAAAATCTTTCAACAGATTTTCACTTAACTGAAACAGCACATTCATTTGAGCAAAATTGTATGCCTGCGGATCATCTGAAAAGTTTCTTGGAATTAGATGGACTGGCCGTATCCTCCTCAGTGGGATCTCTCCCATTTGAGTTAGGATTGGGTAGCGCTTTGAAATTTATGTTCATATTCTGGAAGCTGATGCTAATAGTTTATATGCTATTTGTTGGGATTAACTGTTCCTTTCGTCTTGAGTCAGTGAGTCTAAAGTATTCCCTCCTCCCTAAAAACCCCTTTCCAGCTCACGCGGGGGCAGAGCAGCCCGTGCAGCAGAGGTGAGCGGGACCGGCTGTTCGGACCTTTGGGTCTGACCGCGCAGGGTGTTTAGGAACTGGGCGTGCGCACATACTGCTGCTCTCTAGGGCGCAATCTCTGGCCTAGAAGAGTTCAAGATTCAACATGCACATTTATTTAAAAATACAAATAGGGAAAAATAATTTAAAAGACTACATTGAATGCCCCTCGGTTTTCCCGCATTCAAGGCGTATTTTGTTTTTGTGAGACTGGATAAGACAGTGATAATTGACTCTAAACCCTTTAAGAAGAAACAAATCAGAATGTGCTGGTGCCAGCCTAGGCTGGCAGGGTGGAGAGATGCCAAGCTCCCAACAGCTTCACCCTGGAGTGCACTGCTTATGTCACCTTGGCTGGGGTGACTACAATGGTCTCCAGTCACCAAAACCAGCAAAAGAGAGGGAGGGGATTCCATGCTGGAGCCCAGCCCCACGGGAGGTCTCGGTCGAGACCGTGGCCGGCTCCCCGGGAACAGCCCCGATCTCAGAGGCCTCAGCCGCTGACCCGCCCAGCGCAGCTGGGGCCTGGGGCCCCCAACCCCGAGCAGCTTCCCAGGTAACTGCCCCTGTGCTCAGATGAGGAAGGGCGACTCCTGGTCCAGGTGGGGGGCGCTGTGCTGCCGAGAGGTGCAGCTGGGGGTGGGGGGGCCGCAGAGGCCGGGCCGGCTCACGTGGAATGGCGGGTCCAGACGGAACATGCAAAGGGGCCGAGGACCGTGGCCCTGCTCCATCCGCTGGAGAGAAGGGCTCCGAGGTGTGTCTTCGGATCGGCTGTAAATAAGACACAGGACTCCGGCCACTCTGGCCAGTGTCACAGCCCCTTGGGCTCTGGTGGTGGAGGCTCACTGGAGTCCCGGAGCGGGTGAGGTCCCACCATGCCTCTTCCGCCTTCTCCAGGGGGCTCCGGTCAGATAGCCTCCCATGTTGCAGGTGACGAATCCCCTGGCAAACTTCAAGAAATGGCACAAATAGCGCTGGAGTGCTGGCCCTTCAGTGCTTGCTGTCTCTGAATCTCTTTGGAAATTCGCCTTTTAATGCCTATTAAGTACAGTTCTCGGTCAAACTTGCCGGCAGCCAGTGGAATACTGTGGAAAGGAGAGAGGGTTCAGGAAGTGAGGCTCAGCCGTCGGCTCCAGGGCAACCCAGGAGGCCTTCCTGGTGCCTGGGGTGGGCGGCCAGCCAGCTAGCTTCATGGGCGCAGGGCACAGGCGAGGTCCCCACCCTCCAGTGACACCCTCATGTGAGAGCCACTTCAGCCCAGCCGATGCCAGTGGTCCCCATGTGGGGCTGCCGGAACCCTGCTCCTCTCTGGGGGTGTCAGGACGCAGTGAGGCAGTGGCGTGCACGGATCCGAAGGAGTGGGTAAGAGTCCTGCCCCACCCGGAGCCGCCCCGCCTGGAGCCCCGAGAGCAAACAGCTGCGAGCGGGACTGACTTGTCTCTCCCGGGCCTCACTTTCACCCGGAACAGGCCGTACACGGGGCGGTGGTCGGATGTCTTGATCACGGGACAGGAGGAGTACTTGACCGGGCAGATGTCATCCCTGTGGCGGCTTCTGTACATGATGCGGTCCTTTAGGAAAAGACGGTGGAGGCTGGAGGGCCACGGTCCCCGCAGGCAGTGCCCAGAGCCCCTTCCCCGCGCCTGCTTTGTCGGCGGCATCCAGGCCCCAGTGGGGCTGCTGAGCTGCAGGTCTCTCCCTCACCCTCCCAGCCCTGCAGACCGAGTCCTGCGCTGCCGTGGGTGGCCTGCCCAGAGCCACAGACGCCTGTGAGCCCGGGGTCTGGTGTGGCCCAACGGCCCTTTGTGTAGCGCTTCTGGCAACAGCACATGCTCAGTGGCTAATGGTGCAGTGTGTGCAGAGGCCCGGCCCCAAGAGCCCAGGGCCAGCGCCCCTCACGCTGGAGGGGCCCTTGGAGGAAGTCCCGCGCCCACCCCAAGACAGCCTGCGATCACCGGCCCAGGGCTGAGGTCACAGCGCAGCTTCCACTGGGCATGCTGGGCCATAGGCTGGCTCAGCCATTCACACACCTGACTCAGTCCTCAGCCTGTGGCTCTGAAACGAGTGTGTCCACTTTTCCCCACAGAGCCCGGTCACACTGGGAAGGTGGGCGGACGGGGTGCCGGGGACAGCTCACCGTGTAGGAGGGGGTCCTCTGCTTGGAGGTGGAGTCGTAGGAGTCCTTCCCGATGTCAAACTTATACGATGGAGGAAAGTGGATGTCCGGCTCCTGGAAGCCCTTGAAGACGGACCCTGGGACAGGTGCAGACCAGCTTCACGCCTGCTGTTGTGAGACGCACCTCCTCCCAGGGTGCGGCGTCTGCATGTCCTCCTGGAGGGCCTGCCCCTCCTCCGGGCCTTACCTTTCTTCATCTCCCGGGTAAGCTGGTCGTGCTGCAGCAGAGCAGGGGCTGTGTCTCCCGGGGCCTGCCTCAGGATGGCCTCCACGGCCCCGCGCCCACCACTCAGGCGGAAGTTGAAGTCCCCAAACCAGAACACTCCATCGAACCGCGTGGTGACATCCCCTGGGGCACAAAATGGCAAGTGCATAAGCCCAGCCCTCCCGGAGCAGGCCACGCCTCAGGGACAGGGATGGGTCGTGTCCCCACCGCAAGCAGTCCTCGGCAGCTCTCCCGGGGGCTCAGGTGGGGGAGCCTGGGGGGTTGACATTCGAGTTCATGGTTTTCTTTTTGATTTCAAACGGAGACAGCCGATCCAGAGACCACACGAATGGTCTCGGCTGCAACAGTCACCCTTGCACTCCCAGCAGCTGACACGCTCCCCACGCCTCGGCCTCTGTCATTGGCAGCTTGCCACAGCCGGGAGGCAGGACCCACCCGGGCTGCCCGTCGCTCCACAGGGAGCCTTTAGGCCTCGTGGATATCCGTCTGCCCAGCCACCAAATGGGTCAACACAGTCACCACGTGCACAGCCAGGTGCCTGGCCTTTCAGAGTGCTTTATTTCAACTGGCTGGTGACTTCCCAGACATCTCTAACCCTGATTCTCAAAAGCTCTGAACAGTTTATCTCCACTAACTCCAGAGAATAAAGCTGAAGTGGCCATGTCTTTGGGCAGGGGAGAGCGCCTGCCACCACCTTGGACCAGAGGCTCACCTGAGTTGGAGCGGTAGGGGCTGGTGTCCGGCACGCTCTTGGGCAGGGCGAGGCCCTGGATGGTTTTGGTGTAGTCCACCAGCCTCTCACTGACCTTCCCGTCCCCAGCTGCAGGAACAGCAGAGACAGGCCTCTGCACACAGGGCTGGGTGCTGGGTGGTCAGTCCCAGGTAGGCCCGGCCCCAGCCAGCTCTGATCACAGCCATCTGCTCAGTGACTGTGTCCTCAGGGCCTTGGGGTCCCAGAGGCCAAGCCAAGGGACCCACCACATCTACCTCCTAAGCCAGCGCCTCCCCAGGAGAGGACGGGTGTCCTTAACAAGGCCTGGGACTTGGTGCAGGTGACTCACAGGTGAAGTGAGACGTGATGAAGAGGAAGGAGGTGCCGAAGAAGGTAAAGCTGACGCCCAGGGCCCCCTTAGTTTTGATTTGGGACACGATGCGCGTGGTCACCGTGGAGCTCTCCACCTCTGTGGGAGGGGGAGTGGACAGCTGACCGGCCACGCCCCGGCCCACTCCCGCGTGCAGGCGTCCCCACCCCGGGCTCGTGGCTACCTGAGCAGAACCAGATGAGGTCCCTGCGGATGAGCACAGACATGTGCAGCGCCCCGTGGGCCGCCGAGTGCAGCATGACGTAGTGCGGGCC